CCAAGTCCTACATTTCATCCAGAGTCCTGTCTTCATGATCATTGGGATCGAAATTTATACAATTGTCTGCCAAGCGTCCCACTATTATTATTATTATTATTATTTCTCCTCCTCCTCATCCTCTTCTGCCTCCTTTCTCTTTCTTACTCTCACTCGTGTGTATGAGCATGTGTGAGCAGGTGCATATATATCAGAGGTCAAGGTCAGTATCTTCCTTTATTGCTCTTCACCTTATTTTTGAGACAGTTTCAGATGCTGAATCTGAAGCTTGCCGTTTCAGCTAAACTGACTGTTAATCCTCCCATCGCTGCATCCCCAGTGCCAGGGTTACAGGAGCAAACAGCCATGCCCAGCTTTTTCCGTGACTCCTAGGGATCAGAACTCAGGAAGTCATGCTTGCACAGCAAGCAAATTATCAGCCAAGCCATCACCCTGGTCCTCCCCTTCTTTTCAGTGTAACCACGTCAGAATGTGGGACCACTGTCTGCCCCATCAGTAGTTGTGATGGTCAATGATGTCATTGGCTGTTACCAGCCCAAGCCCTTGGTGTCCTGAGTGTGTGGAGTGTTTCAGCTGTGAAGCTGAAATTCCCTTGCTTGGCCAAGTGTATGGCTCTGGTAACACCTTTACAAGTCAGGCCATAGTTGACCACAATCTTTCCTGGTTCTCCCATGAGACCAAAGCACTGAAGATATAAACTGCTTCTCCATCCCGATCTCCCAAGTGATATTACCGATATGAAGCCAATACGCAACCAACCCATCATGGATGTATATATAGCCTGAGTCACGGAAGGCTAACTGCTTCCAGATGCTGAGAACTAGGGCCTGTTTGTTATACAGTACATGTTAGAGCCTTGTTGGTGCTCTACCCAGTGGGCATATGCTCCAACTTGGATTTGTAAAGCCAAAATATTTTTGATATAGAAATCTTTAAAGTGGAACCCAACAGAATACATTTCTTAAAGACGATTCTTACACAAAGCGCTGGGGGCTGCCCGTTTTTATAAATTGGAGAGGAATTTAAAAGAGAATCACTGAAAATAGACAGGAGAGACAAGGAGTGGGGAGGGAAGCCTTAGACTTGACGGCCACAGCAATACCTTAAGCTAGCACACTGCTCGACTGTTTTCTGGAAAACGGAGGCGCTAGCAATATAATTCTTTCTACTCGCCGAGGAGTTCTTTATTTTGTTTTGATGAGCAAATTCCCAGGAGGGGCTTAAAATCATCCTGTATGAGTTTAAAGTCTCAACATACACTCTCTTTTAATTTTTTTAACTTGTTCTTGTATCTAGGCATTTAGATTATGCCCGGTTTTTCACTATCATAAATTATTTTTTTGTAAAATAATGAACATTTGTGATATTTGCTTCATCCTGAGGCCAGTGATTTCTTCTTTTGAAGAAATCATTTATCTTAACTCATTTATATTTTATGCAAATGAGTGTTCTCCTTGCATGTGTACCCTGGACATGAAGGGCTCACAGAGGCCAGAAAGGGGCACCGCATCCCTTGGACCTGGAGCTGTTGACAGTTAGGAGCCACCATGTAGGTGCTGAGAACCATGATCCTCTACAAGAGTGGCAAATGTTCTTAACTATGTCTCCAGGTCGCTCCAATGATTTTCTTAGAAAAATTCCTGAAAATATATTGCTTGATTTATTATTATGAACAATGAGTACACAACTTGGCATTTGCTCACAAGCAGCTTTCTAGAAGTCCTGCACTAATTTACATTCTCATAAACGTGTGCTCGTTTATCCAAACCCTTTGTCAGCCCTGGATGATGTCGATATTTTCAATTTTTCCAGCTCCACTTAAGAAAAGCTTATTTTTCTATTTATATTTCTTGCATCACCAGAGAGAATGGTGGTTTTGTCTTGTTATTTAAGTTCTTTTGTTGTTAATTGCTTTCTGCTTTCTTCTACCCCTTTTTATGGAGTGCGTATGTGTTGGGGGGGTTGATTCTCTCTTTGTTTAATGATTGTATGACTTTTGAGAATTACATTAAAATGTTGTCCTATTAGGGCTTTCAGAGAAGATATAGGGCCACCACTTTGACTTTTGAATAACCAGAGAGAAAAATTATTTACACTAAAAAGTAATTCATGGGAGGCAGGCGGTGGTGGCGCACACCTTTAATCCCAGCACTCAGGAGGCAGAGGCAGGCAGATCTCTGTGAGTTCGAGGCCAGCCTGGTCTACAAGAGCTAGTTCTAGGACAGGCTCCAAAGCTACAGAGAAACCCTGTCTCGAAAAACAAAACAAAACAAACAAACAAACAAACAAAAAATCGTAATCCTAGCAAGCTGAAGGCTGAAACAGGAGGTCATGATTTCATGAAGAGCCTAAGGTAGCCAACAAGTTCCAAGCCAGCCTGGGTCATCCACTAATATCATGGGGCAAACAAATGAAAGCGGGGGACAGTCGTGAGGCTTGGGCAGTCTATGGGGCCACTGGCAGTGGGACCAGGATTTATCCCTAGTGCTGGAACTGATGTCTTGGAGCACATCCTCTTTGGATGAATACTTTTGCTCAGCCTAGATATGTATGTGGTGGTGGTGGGGGACTTGCTCCTGCCTCAAAGTGAAGTGCCAGACTTTGGTGACTCCCCAACAAAGCCTTACCCTTTCTGAGGAGTGGGTGGAAGTGGGGGAGAAAGATATGACAGGAGTGGGGAGGGAGCGGGAATGGGGATCGCGATGTAGAATGAGAAACGATTGTATTAAAAACATCTTAATCAAAATAGATGAATTGTGGTCTATCTGAACATCAAAATGAACCCACGGTTTGCTTTTAAAATTAAATTTAGCAAACCCCGGCCACATGTGTAGTAAATATTTTTCCAGTTTATTCATTTTTGAATTCTGCTTACTATGTCTGTTTATATAGAAATTGTTTGGACTTTGATGCTCATATCTATCAGCATTTTTCTTAATGGTTTTATGATGCCTTAGAAAGGCTTTTAGAACCTCACATTTATGGTAAGTACCTATATAGTCATCACTTGGCTTCGTGATTTTTCATTCATCATTTTGAGTGATCTGTAACTTACTCTGCTCTAGGAACCACACAGAAAGTCCGTTCTTGCCCCGATTACATCTACCGTCATTCCAATACAAGTTACCTGAAAGCCTGCATTTTCCCTGCATTTCTCCTTGGGGCAGTGGATCTTGCTCCTAGAGTGGTCCTCCCGGGCAGTGCCATGATGTCGCAATCACTGTTGCTCTGTGGTGGTTCCGCAGAACGTGACACAGAGATAGAGATTTCACAGGCGTCGAATCCCTGGCTTCTCTTTTCTACCTGTACGACCTCGGGGACACACGTCCGCGGCTTATCTGAGAGCCGCAGCAGTGCTATTGTCTGCTTCCTAGATGTGTGGTACAGAATAAAGGGCCCTAATGCCTGTAAAGCCCTCCCGAGGAAGTAGCACACATACCACACCTCTGTAACACCCTGCAGGGCTGCGTTCCCATCCTCTTCTGCACCCCCATTGTGTTGATTGCTCCCCTTTCCCAACTGAGCCCTAAAATCACTATGTCAGTTTACAACAGCAAAAAAAAAGTTGTTTGGAATTTGACCATAATTACATTGGAAATGAAAACATGGCAGATCTGACTGGGTGACAGGGTTTCTTTTGTGTGTGTGTGTGTGTGTGTGTGTGTGTGTGTGTGTGTGCAAGAATAGGACTTGCATCTTAAGAGAGTCCAATTCCTCTGCTCCTTCAGTCAAAAGTAGAAGGGTTCCCAGTATGAGGTATGTTCCCTGATAATGGTACTGAGGAAAGTTGGGTCCTCTCTCAAGGTTCTTAGTACCATTTTAAAAAAAGAATTTTATGAACGCTTAGAAGAAAGCTTGCGGGACAACTTCATGGAGTTTAAGAGAAAAGCCCCAGCGCAAGTCGGCTATAAATACCGTCAGCTGCCTTAGAGAAGGAAGATGGAGACGAGGAAGAGAGAAAGTCATGTTATTTGTAAGAGGCCAAATGGCAGACAAGCACCCGCATGGTAAGGGGTTGCAGCATGCTCCGGCTTTGTCCAGTACCAAGTAGAAAGAGTTAGAGAGAGGATGTGTTGGAAATCAGGTTTTCTGAGTTCTGACTCAGAAAGGCAGACCTTAGCAGAGCCACAGGGCATAGCTATGACTGTGAGCCCCTCCAGGGGAATGCTCTCTGGGAAGGAAAAGCATACTATTTCCTTAAAGGGATGATTATTCCTCCCATTTCTTTAGCACGCCTTAAGGTGAGTTAGCCTTCCTGAGTGATGGTCTCTCTACCAGGCAACTGACTGGTACCGCCTCTGGATCAACTCTCCTGTTTTGGATAGCTTGGAATGTAAGGTCTCCACCCAAAGCCATAGGCAGAGCCCATCCTTTTACCAGAGGGAAACAGCTTTCACTTAATAGGTCTCCACAGAGCCCTGAGCAAGACTCCTGTAGCAGGGAATTCATATCTTCAGATATTTATTACTCTATTAGTGAAAAGAGGATTTATTATCCCTACTACTGACAATAACACTATGTGTTTATGTCATGACCTGCCTGCTCATTGTTGTCTTTATTTTGAATTTTCCTAAAGCAATCATGTCCCTGCAAACCTCAATTGTTTTTCTCCTGACTCCCAGCTTAAACTCATGGCACCCACCAAGACACTGTAATTTATACTTCATTGCCTTCTTTCGTCTTCTTCTTTCTCGTGCCTAATTGCATTCAGCAGACTTCCCAAACCGGCCTCCCAATCTCATACCTAACTTTAATGGGCATGTCTGTGTAGGTACTGAGCATAAGACAGGGAGAGAGATCCTCACAGAAAAGCTTCACGGTTTGGAGTTCTGGTTTTTGCTTTTTCTCCTTAGAGAGGAGGGACTTTTGCAAAGCCGGTACGCCCTCCCCGAGTCGGCGGCGCTGCACTGGGGGCCGAAGTTTCTCTCTGCGTTTCCGCTTGAACAGCGTCCAAGCCTCGCCTTTAAAATGCCAGGGCAGCCTCAGCTGGGCTCACAGCCGCTCTCGGCGGCTGCCCGGGGCTCACCGCGCCGCCGCTGGGCGCTGACTCAGCCGCAGTTGGGCAGCTCCGCGGATCAGGACCTGGAGAGCGCGCGCCCCGGAGCCGCCGGGGAAGCACCGCAGCGCTTGAGACTCGGGTTTCCGGAGCTGGGGGGCTGACCCGTTTGGGTCCCCGTGCGCACGGGACTCGCCTGGCCAGGTAGGACTGCGGGAACATCACCCTGAGCATCCTTCCAGCGGGGAGGGCGAACAGCACGGTCCGCCCTGCGGGAGATCAGTCCCGGTCCCCAGGTAGCAGGAACTGGATCTTGCTAATGCAGTGGGGCCTGGCCAAGCACTGGCGACCAAGAGACCTGACAGGACTAGACGACAGGACCCCTTGGCAGTCCAGTGCCTATTACCTTAGCCACCGTCAACCTGGAGAGGGCCAGTTCGGAGCAGTCGATAAGTGCAGAGCTTGGGGTGAAATGGCTCAGGGCTATGCTTAGCAGCAGAAAGCTGCCTTGTGGGGCTCGGGTCTCAACACCCAGTGAGCTGGTAATGCTGGGTTCAGATTCATCTCCTCCCAGCGGGAGGTCCTCTACTCTCGGCCTATAAGAAATCCAAAGAGTGTGTGTTGAAACTGAATCAAAGTTACCAATTCCCTCTGGTCAAGTTCAGCGCCTAAAATTCTGTGTACTTGTGACTACCAGCAACAGAGAACAGATTCTCATCAGTTGATGAAGGTCATGATTGACGGGACTTCTGGGGAAAGTTCTGTCGGTGACAGTCTTTCTAAGGAAATGTCAAGTCTCAGTAGGATTTTTGTGGTGATCTGTGTGAAAAGCCCAACCCAAGTTTTCAATATTTTCCCCCAAGTCAGTGAAGAATGGTTTATGTAGTTCTGTGAAAAGTCTATTATGGTGCTAAATTTGATAGTAGTGTCTTGATTGCCCGTGGGGAAAGTTCTGGAGTCCAAGGCTATGTGTCTTCTCACTGGATGTACCCTAGGGTCCCGGTGTCATATTGATCTGTCAAGATAGGGCTGTGTACCCAGAAAAGAAGCCTCACGCAGCCTCTCTGCCGCCTTCCTGGGAGAGGCTCCTTGTAATCGTTTCCGCATCAGCTTGGAGGTTCAGTCCCCACATCCTCTGAGATTTCTCTGGTCTCCCAAATCCCAGCCAGGGAATCTCATCTTCTGGTCTGACACTAGAAACACACGCAGTCTTGCTATTTCCCTCAAAGCATGCTGTCTAGTGAATCCTGGCTCCAGCACCACAACCCCTAAGTTTCCCTCGGCCTCAGGAAGCTGCTTTCGGAGCAGGGCTGTAATAATTTGATTCGTTGCAGTTCATGGTCTTCTGCAAAGTGGGTTTAGGTGATCAGAAAGCCAAACACCAAGGCTTTGAGTGTGATCTGTGCATTGGGCTTTGGTTACGGTTATATTTTTGGAGGTAGCTCATGGTATAATATTGCACCAACTTTGAGAACACATGGGGGGTGTCGTGCAAGCAAACCCCCTCTTTAGGAGTGTACCCTGAAGCAAATGGCCTTACATTTACTCCAACAAGGAGCATAAATAAGCTAGTCATCTAGTCTCTGTACCATTGCATTAAGATACTCTGGTTCCCGAGAGTTAATTCCCTAATCGCTTTTCCAGTTAAGCCTTTTATTATTTCTGAGCAAAGTGTAGATAATGAACGCATGAGCTACAATATGTTGCTGAGACCACCTACATGTGGAAAGTCATAGCAACGTTCAGGCGGTGAAAGGACAAACATAAGTCTGCAATGAACGAGGTTAGGGTGCAAAGGGGCGTTATACACACTAGTGAGAAGCAGCCTTGTATGTGCCTGGGAAAAAAAAAAAGTAACCAGAAATTCGTTGGCTGCTGATAAACTGACTTGGTGAATTGTGTATCTTTCCAGTCTGTTTCCTGGCTGGGTTAATGAAAGATGCAGTCACTCTGAATCTACTGCCTCCCTAGTTAATCTTCTCTTTGACAAATATTTACACGATGCGGGCCCAATATCATAGCACAGCCTCACAATCGGCAGCCCTGTGGCGATCCACGGATGGTATGGCTCCGATTCAACACTATTTCCAAGACTTAAAAGGAAACTGAAGTGACATCAAGGAAAATGTCCTTACATTATCCCGCCTGGCCACAGTGGGAGGGACAGTGTTTATGAAGCTGACAGGGTTCCAAGTCTCCGAGGTTAATGCTTCTAATAAGTTCGGGTGTGAAAGAAAGGTATAATGGCTCTGGATTCAGGCACCGAAGGCTCTGGAACTACTCCATGCCCGGGAGGGTTTTAGGAGACTGGAGTTTGCTTTTGGAAGTGACATTTTTGAGCATTAGCTTTGGAAGGAAATACCTCCAATGTGCCGTACTTGCCTCCTCCCGTCAGAGGGCTGGCAACTGGGAGTCTGGGGCTCCTGCTGACTCAGAGTGGCTATCGTGAACATCAGTCATCCCGAGCCCCTTGGGGAGAAAGCTCATGGGTGTGTATCAGAAAGACTGGCCAGAGTATTGTTTGGGGGTCTCAAACTAATCACATGACCTCAAACAAGTGACCTTTCTGGTTCCCTTGTTTATTAAGCCCTAGGATACTCAATACCAAGTCAGGTGCTCTTACTAAGGACCTGCCGCACACTAAGTATTTTGTCTATATGTTCATGTAACTGTCACGGCCCCATTTTTATGTCTGTGTATGAGTAGCGTAGCATATGTGTGCGTGTGTCCGTGTGTGTACAGGTGTGCCCATACATCGTGGGGGGCATGCAGAGCCCAGAACTCCACGTCAGGTGTCTTCCTCAACCACTCCTCACCTGGCTTACTGGGGCAGGATTTTTCACCGAACTTGGAGTTAATTGATTCTGCAAGACCAGAAGGCCAGTGAGACCCAGAGAATACCGCCTCTGCCTTACACTCTAGGATGACAGGCATGAGCTCTCATATGGGTTCTTTCCCAAATGATCCAACTGCCCGGCCCTTGCCATCAGATTTTTAGCTCCTTTTTCTGATGAGGGTTCCAATCCGGAATTTGATTTTGAAGATGGCATCCTTCCTCCCTGAACTGGACTCATTGCATGACGTTGCTTAAAGGAAAAAATACTCTCTGATAGAGAATCAGCACTCAAAAATTATGATGCTACCGTTAGTGGGGGTAACCAGTTCCCCTTCCTGAAGACTGAATTGCATGCGTTTTTCAGGTTTGGGTCCTCTGGACGGGCCCCTTTGTTCCTGACTGCGACTTACCCATTGTCTCCTGAAAGCTGTGCTCTGCCCCTAGGGTTCAGTTTCTATGTTTACAGACGAGGGAAATATTGTCGTCCTTACTGGGGAAATGTGGGAACTGGAACTGGTGGTTTATGTGAATAAGTCTAGCACACAGCAGGTGTTTAACACATAGTGCTTGGAACCGGTTCTTCCCGGCTGGTCCCTCCCATAGTCTGCTCCTATCACTGCATAATGGAAACGGTGCTCAGTAGACTTCCGCGGCATGTCCTTCAGCACAGACTTGTATAGCTAGACATTCCCCGGAGGGTCCCTTGATGTGCTCCCTGTTTACAGTGCATCAAGCCTTCACAGGTAAAGTGTCCTTGTCAAATTCATCCCTAGAGTCATGCAGGGAAGTAGTGTCGCTGACTAGAAGGACTAAGGTTGGGATACCTAGTCCCAGAATCCCCCTAGAGCTCCAGGTTTAGAAGAGGTCCCTATAGCTCACAGAGACTACGCAAATAAGCATCCTCCAGAGCTCATGTAATGTTGGACTGCGCCCCCTTTCATGGTACCCCATCTGGCTGCTTGCCTAGGATTGCTTTTGAACCGCACTCCCGAGTGGAGAGCAGAGGAACCCCTGAGTGGGTGTGTGATATTGACATGGGCGGGGCATCAGACCTGTGGGAAAATGTCTAAGCTTCCCAGCCACTGGGATGAGGTTTGTAGAGAAACCGCAAAGTTTTCTTCTGATCCATGTGTGAGTGCAGAAAATGGCCACCATAGCTTCCCTGCCACCACCACACCCCAACTGGATGTTTATAGCCCAAAGAAGGAGACTGCTCCTACCCAAAATAGTTAAATCTGTCTCCTTGGTCCAATTGTATACCATAAGTTCTGCCTCCTTGTTCAGTCCGGATCATAAGGATGCTGCATTTCAGTAGAGCTACAGTGTCTCTAGCAGAGAGCTGAGACCACCTCCCCCACGAAGCCCACTTTCTGTCTCTGTATCTGTTTGTCTGTCCTTTCTTCATTCCCTTGCCAACCCAGTCAGGTCAAATCCTGGAGTAATGCTAACCTAAGTAAGGCACCTCAGGTCTAGATTAAGAACAGAACAAGTGCCTCCCTGACCCTCTCCTCAGGGTCTAACCCCAACCTTGGCACTCAAGACTTTTTTTAGAACTTTTAAAGTTTATTCTTTTGTTTTGCTTTTAAGTGACTCATAATAGCTACACATATTTATAGAGAGACTTTCTAGTGTTTACCATTGACATGGCAAGGACAGGCCCAGGCAGAAGAACGAAAGGAAAGGGCACCTTAACCACTTAGACTCGAACCTCTCAGATGTCTCTGCTGAAACCTACTCGTGACAGGAGACGCGACCCTGGGTAGTCGGAAAATGGCCTCAACAGCATTTTGCTTCCATGTCGAGCCTTTGCTCTGACCTTTGGGAAATTGTGTATTCTGTCTCTAGCAGAGCTGACTCCTAGGGCTTGGCCCCATTAGAATCCCAAGGACTTCATCCCTGCCCTTGGGACAGAATGATGGGAGGTTGAAACAAGTCAGGATTATGCCCCTGCTCCTGCAGTCCCGGCTGGAACAGACAAGGTGAATGAAGTGGGCAGTCCTTCCCATGGGCGTGAATTTCCGTGCTCTGTAGGCATGATGGCGTGTGTTTGTCATCTGGAGATTGACAGCTGACAAGTGACCCCATCCTGCATGTAATCATCAGACTTCTCTCCCTCTGACAATGTGGGTTCTCCTTGGCACAAGTGGAACTTCTTGTGTTTGGAACTTCTTGCGTTCTAGAAGACCGTAAATAAATGACTTGTGTTTGCCATACCTCCATATGCCCAGAGCAAATAACGCTGGTTGATCATAGTACTGAATGACACCTTGGCATCCTCCTTAAGAGTTACCTAGAGTTGACTTTAGAAATGATCCCTGGTGGGGTTCCATGACTGATGGGAAGCTGTGAGGAGTTTGAAGCCACGGGA